ATAATCAAAATTTCTTAATGCCGGACTTGTCCACCGGCGCTTCAGTCAACTCACTGGACCAATCATCGGGAAGTATTTCCCTCATGGCCCAGAAGGCGACTCTACGGCCCTAGTGACGCCAACAAGCACGCGGTCGAGCACTTGTGGCGTCAGTTAGCTCCAGGCAAATCACGCGGTCATCTCTGTACAACCTTTCGCAGTCGAATCGCAGATTTTTGCAGTCAGCTCACCCTTTGTAGAAAAAAGTACGGTCAAACAGACTCAGACAACTCTCACGAACATAAGTGAATCATCAAAATTACTCTCATCAGTGCCAGTGGTCCAGTATATTCAGTTGTAGTGTCTTTGGGCGCGAAGCTGAACTGGCGTCGACGCCATAGTGCCTCACGGACATTCACATATACATCGCACCCCCGAACAACTCTGGTGTATACTGTGAATGTTGCTATTCACTGTTTTTGAGACTATTTTTTTTGGTGAAAAAATAACCATCAGACAATTCATACGTGTACAAACAATTAATGTACAGTCAACTCAAAGATATGTAGTGATTATTAAGTTCTATTGATTATGTTAAGTGTTATTGTTGAATAAAAAACATCCAAACCTAGACAAATTGGTGTTTGTGAATCATTTTAAGGAACCTTCTAGCATCCAACCTCTATTCTTATTCTGCTCTTAATTCTTACAGTCCACTAGTTTTTTAGTTTGCTCGTCCGGCCGACTCGAAGTCAGAACAATTACTATTTTGCTCGTCTTGTCAGGATAATATTACCAACATGTGGAAGCTTGTCTTGCTCTGGGTGAATTTAATAATTCTTACGAGTGGCCATTTTGTTGGGGGGGAATCATTCGTCTGTCAGCAAGGCATCAACTCAAATTTTTGATTGTGATTGAATCATCCGCCATGGATTTTGTGTTAAATGATGAAGTTATGAGATTGACGGTTCAATAAAAGTATTGATTGATGACCAAATGAGAAAATGACCAGGAGTGAGAGCTTGAGTGTTTTTAGGATCATCGCTGATTGGCTTTAGAGATCTTGAGTTGAGAATCGCTTGGATTTGAGTTAGTTGTGTGATGATCTCTTCGAATGTGAAAAAAGATTTTTTTACTGTTTTCCTTAACTAAAATTTCAGTAATTTGACTACAGACTCCCACTAGCTACCCATGTGTGGTGCTACAGGTGGATTAAATGACCAGTGAATGCCATTGGTCATAATGAACTTGGAGATGACCTCATGCTTTCTAATGTATTGTGAGAATAGTCTCTGGAGTTTTATATCAGCTACTATGAAATATCTGCTACATCTAGAAAAGAATGTTTGGCATCATTCTCGTCGAAAGGTAAATGTCCTGTTGTAATCAAATAGCCGTAATTTTAAGCCGTATTTTGTCAGAGAGCAATCATTCAATAAAGAAAAAAATTTTTTGACAACGGCTTGTTGGAAAGTCACTGACTTTTGCATTTGTGCAAAATGTTTTCACTCGGGATAAATTATTACTATTATTTGAACAATATTGGACTTTTGCAACATGCGTTTTTTTCCGTTTCACCGCTCACGTAGTGAGAACGGTGATAGATAGGAGGAAAAATAAACATACTATTTTTGTATAAAACAATCACTCAAAATTTCTTCAATTTTTTTATAGGCAATACATTTGTTATAAATAACTAAAAATTCACATGATATAAAGAGAGTAATTGTAAATTTTTAACCGGCATTAGTTCTTGGAGTACAATGAGTATTCACGGATATAATCAATACAATCGGATTTTCTACAAAAATGGTATCTCTATTTTCCCTTCTATCACCGTTATAAACAAAAACAATTTATCTCTACTAAGAAATTATTCCTAATGTATTTTTCTAGGCTACTGGATTATCGGTGGCAATTAATGCTGCTGATGAATAGTCACTAACTGTTTCGACATAAACTGCATAAGCTGACATGCAGACAAATATACAGACCCAAGCTTTTCTTGTCTTGGCTCCTCTGCCTGATGATGTTTTGATTGAAAATGGTTCACAACTCAACTGAGCATGTTGAAGTCGTCTTTCTACTCGTAGAACTCCTTCGGAGTCAACGTATGCTGTGAACCTGTTGAATGACTTGGTGGAAGATTTTGATTGTTAGATAAAGTCCCGATTTCATTATGAAAATGTGATGGTGGTGATTCTACTGGCCAGTTTTCTTGATTTTTAGCTAACCAGGTGGGTCTCTTTTATCACAGCACATAATATTTAAATTGATTGGCTGTGATGCCTCTTGGAGCGCAGGATGCTAGATTCGAGTTGCTAAAAATGTGGTGTCAGTGCACGTCCATAACTAGTTCCAGTATTTGCACAACTCTGTTTCTGATAAAGTCCTTCCAGCGTACCGCATACTTCGTGAGTTTAGCTAAAATTAACACAGCTGTTAACTTTACCCTGGGGATTGTGATTTGTTTGATTGGTATTACTTCAGATTTCGCACAAAAGCGTGTGATTTTAACCCGTGTGGATGATAAATTGAATTTTAAACGGATTGCTGCAGCCATCGCAAGCTGTGAAGTATCAGAGAATCTATGAATTTCTACTGTTAAATGTTTCGTTGTATGAATCCATCATGGAATTGAAATCTTATGTAGTTGAGTGAACTCTTCTCTGATTATTAGCTAGCGATTGATGATTGATTGTAGGACTGATTTGTCCCAGCTGAGGTTATGTAGCCAGGGCTCTCGAAAAAGCATCTTAACTCAGATTGTAGTAGGTGCTACAAACCCCAAAGAATTACAAATTTAAGCTTCTTTTGAAACAACGAGGTGTTCTGAGCATGTTGACTTATGGAAGACTTAATTCAACAAAACTGTAAATGTGTCTGAACTCGGATTTCATTGAAGTCCTAGTATTTTTTTGGTGCATTTTTCAGAGGTGATTTGTTCTTGATTGACTGATGATTGTGACGTTTTTTGAAGAAGTGATTGACTATTTGACCATATCTAAAGAACAGAAACATCTATGCAACCCCGAGGGCCCGTTGCGTAAGTTGCTTTCGGATATTGATGGTCTTCATATTCAACTGATTGCAGTAACACACGAACAGCTAGATAAGGAGCCGATTTAGTGCCGTACGTTGCTGTTGTCAACTTATATGGAATAATTTTACCAGGATGAACCACTATCTGACGAAACGTTTTTCTTAGGTCAGTTGTGAATTTGTATTAATGTTGATGAATCCAAAGAAGTACATCAAAAATGCCTAAATAAATTTTTGCTCTAGTATGAGTATTGTCATTCATTAAAACTCTTGTTGAGCTCGGGCTGGATCCATTCAAGACGACTCTAAGCTTGGTAGTAGTGCTGCTTGGTCCTAAAACCCCATGATAAAGAAGAAAATATGGATGAATGTCTTAAAAGTCTTGATTGAGTGTTGGAACAAGTCTTATGTGACCGAGTTCTTCGTATTCCATCATGAATTACCCGTCGAGATTACTGAATTCAGTCGCGTTGGTTAATCTTTTCGACATTCACTTTGAACATTGACACGCGTTCGTATAGAAGTTTCCAAGAGCTGCAGGTAAAGGAATGAATAAACAGAGTGTCCTTCTCGAAGTATGATGCTCACCTAACTTCGACAGCAGATTCACAGTAATAATTGCAGACTACTCCAATGAGATACTCAGTCAACTCGCGTGCGATTTAACACCTCATCAGAAGAGCAACCAATGGGACTTTATAGAACATAACAGACAGCTCAGTCTTAGAATCATTGGGAGATGATCTATCTGTCTTTTTCCGTAAGTATTTCCTCATTTTATCTGATCCAGAATGAATGAGCACTCAGGCTAAGCACCTGAAGGTGAATTTGCTCTGACTTTTGCTATTGCTAAAAGCGCTGAAAGATTATCTTGTAGATAACTTGAAATAGTTTGACTTAAGCAGATTGCTCTAATCGATGATTGTCTGTTGAATCAAATTGATTGAACGTCACTTGATTGTTGATTTTGTGTGCCATTAGCACTACTAGTTAAATGTTGATCGATTGTCTCTTGGTCTTTTGATCTTCTGATTATTCTAGATGGCGATACTGCTTTTGAAATTGTCTTTTGGACTATTTCAACTGAATCCTCAACTCTTCTGAGGCTAAAACCTCATGCACTGGAGATCATCCTGTCAATTTGACGTTCTAGAGCAAGCTCACCAGCAAGCTTGAATGTATGTATTGATAGACCTGGAGATGGTGACGCATTATCCGGAATAATGCTTTCTGCAGTAGATCTTCTATCTAGCTGTGCTAAGGGCTCATCAATTTGCTAAATTAGACTATTGATCTCGTCCTGTTTATCATCAGGAGTAACTCTGACGTTGAGTTGATTTTTTGAAGTCTTTGATTTTTTGCCATTCCTCTCGTGTTAACAATGTGCAATTTTTCGATACTACTGACCACTTACACACTTGATTATCTGAATCAACTAAGGATTAGTTGATGAATGCCTTGTATACTTCGAAGAAAAATCGATTTTTTCGCTCACTAAACATTGATAGCACTGAACAAAACCTCTTTACAACCTAAAGATCTGATCTGGCTCGAAAGACTAATAAAATGTTGACAAAATGTCAACCTTGATTAAGCCTCGTCGGTTAGAATAAGAATATGTGTGTCGAAACAGAGCAATGAGAAAGTTAGAATTGTAAAAAATATAATAATCTTCTTTTTTCAGCCCTATCTATTAACAATATATACACTGTATAAGTTGAAGTCCCTAAAAAATGAATCAAATTCTACGCCGTCTTCACGTATACTTTACTTCTTTCGAACCTATACTTGACTAAAATGCATTGTTTAAAATTTTTTAAATGCTTTAGTTCTACTCCTTTACCTTTTATCATGCGCGCAACGCTTGACGACAGGAAGGTTTACTATGATTTCGAATTGACTTTATTATAGTTTAATTATGGTAGTAGAAATAAAGGGATTTTATTATGCTACGGATTGTATTTATTTATCACACTTACTTGATCATCTAAGATTAAAGGCAGAAATATAGCTTTTGGAACAGCTATGTTATTTGGTCCATCAGCGCGTCTGCAACAAGAAGGTACGATTGAGTCATTCATCTTTACATCAGGATTTAAGAACTGACACAATTAGAACATATAATGCAGATTCATCGATGAAAAAGTGATGACATACAGATAAACCTTCTATGATAATTAAAACGCAGTAACGGCAAACGTAAATATGTTTCATCTCTCGCCATAAACTAACTTTTAACGCGCCAATAGATGGAATTAGTCATAGTTGCTTCAAAAACTTAACCTAAAAAATGGCCCAAGCTGTGGAGAATTTATCAAAAAATGAGTTAATAATTTCAATTTTTAAATAAAAATAACGTACAACAAAAAATTAAATTTCTAACAATTACTGACGAATTAGAGAATGAGAAAAATCTTTCGATTTTTTCTTGCATTATTGGTGGAGTTACAGAATCACAGTAATTTCATTTTACTTTACGTAACAAATAATAATATTAGCACTTTCCCTGTTGACAACCTGAATAACAGATTAAAGTTCTCAAAATTGGCAATAGCAATGTTATTGTATCATACTTGTTTAAACATCAATTTTTTTTTCATTTTATCGTTTATAACATTTTTCTACTAATAATGCGTAAAAAAATCTATTCAAATCGATATGCAACGTGCGGAAAACACTTATTACTATTTATAGCAACCTTGTTGGAATTCTTTAAGAATCATCCGTTCATTTATTTGATCAGTAAGATGTTACAACTAAATTCTCATCTGAGGTTACAAATCATTAATGATTAATCGTTTCTATACATACATGCAAAATTTCGAGAGCAACAGAAAAAGCTACGTTTGACGCCTAATGCAGAAGAGAGTGATGAAAGTACGTAACGCAAGAGAGAGAACACTTCGAGGAGCGTATCATGAAGGAACATAATGCACGACATATTCAGTAAGAAAGAACACATGATGGAGCGCTCGACTGAAAAGAGTGGAATAGCGAGGCGAGAAATCCTGAATAGCAAAATTATTGCCGTTAGGAGAGTGGCTTATCCGTAACTTTGTTAATGACTAAGAGAAAATTTTTGTGCTGCACTTAATCAAAAGCTTATAGTCTTGAGTCACTACTTTTTAAATATTGAAGCATAATGTGCAGTAATTACAGAAATATATGCATGTAAATGTTCGTTGATGACGACACACAATATTGTTCGTGTATAAAGTAGTCAGTAGACTCGGCGCACATGGGAGAAAAAGCGCGCCAGTATAAACACGAAAGACAGTTAATAGGTTTCTCACAACCATGGAAATTATACTATCTACGCTTCTCTACTTGACAAGGAAAGCCGCTGCAGGTGTCAAATCACAATCAATATCATTTATCGGAGCACATTGCGCCTTGTACAAATCTAAATAGTTTCATATAAAATAATATTTTAATTCTAACAATAACAATCATGACTCTCGGATATTACTCTTTTCGACCATACCACCAAGCACGTATATTACATTGAGTTCTCAGCCCCGGCTTCAACTTTTCAGAGAATTCTGTGACGAACATCTATCAGGAATTCCTGAAAAGTTTTAACGAGTCAGCATTGATGAGATCAGGAATGCTCTAAGGGGCACAAAGAACTGGGCTGCCCCTGAGACAGATGCAATCCCCACCTTCCGGTGGAAAAAATTGACATCATCCCACCAGCATCTGGCTCGTATCTTCTCAGAATATCTAGGAGGAGATACACCCATTCCTGGATAGCTCGTTGAAGGGCGTACTGTGCTGATCTCCAAAAGTGGTGATCTGTCTAACCCAAAAAACTACAGGCCTATTGCATGTCTAAATACTCTCTACAAATTGTTTACGAAGATTTTGAACGGGAGAATTTTGATTGCAATAGAACCTGTGTGGAGACAGATGAACGAACAACGTAGCAGCAAGCGTGGCTTCACGGGTTGCAAGGAGAACTTGCTAGTAGTATGCGTCACAATGGACGCATACTACTACAAGCGCAACCTGTCAATGGCCTGGGTGGATTACAGAAATGCATTTGATACAACATCACACGAGCTTCTCCTCTACTTGCTCGAATGCCTTTCAGTACCCCCACAAATAGTGAGATGTATCGAACATCTAATGCTGCTCTGGAAGACACGTTTCACCGTAACATCTGGTGAAACAAAAGTGTCTACCAGAGCAGTATTTGTTGAACACTTTTGTTTCACCAGATGTTACGGTGAAACGTGTCTTCCAGAGCAGTGCCATTGAGGAGAGGCGTATACCAGGGAGATACCCTGAGTCCTCTTCTATCTTGCATCTCACTGCTGCCATTATCTGTCACTCTACGCCAAACGCCTGGATATAAAGCCGGACGAGTCTCTAACCGCGTACAATAAATCACACATCTATTCTATATAGTGTACGCGGCAAGTCCTGAGAGACTCCGAGCAGCCCTAGAGGTTGTGTCCGAGTATACCAATGCAATCGGCATGGAGTTTGGGTTGGACAAGTGCGCAGTTGCCCACTTTGTAAAAGGAAGATCGCCGAACTGGAGTGATAATGTCGACCTTACAGACGAGAGCATTATAAAACATCAGGATGCTGGAGAGACACACTGATATCTTGGACGGGCACAATCTCCATTACAGGACGTGTCTGTCATCAAAGATTCTCTCCGCAGTGAGTACAAGTGGCGACATAGGAGAATATGGCACTCTGAATTATCAGACCCTAACAAAGTCAAAGCCACGAATATGTATGTATGTATGTATGTATGTATATTGTTTTATATTACTAAGAAATAATTTAATAATCTTCATTAAACTATTAATTCTTGAAATACCTCGTATCACTCATAAATAAAATATCTTTAGACAATAAAATTGAATGAAATTGAAATGCAATAAAATTCATATGCCTTATAATATTTATTTACGTTTGCTAATATTATATCTCAAAATTGACGAGTTCGATGATAGATAATTAAAATATCTGTAGGCAATAAAAGTGAATAGATGGAGGGGGAGGGGGGATCACTCGACTATTACCGAGAATGTCGGTAGTTTACCACCGGAGCCGGCAACTTGCTGATCGTGGATGTAGTTGCCGATTTTCCGCTAGATAGCGCTGTACTGTCTGCTGTTGGTTATTTTTACAGATCTAGGCAAGGCTGCTGTTGTGGCGGGTAAAAATTTGAATTTTAAAAAGTTTCCTTGCCGGTAATTATTGATCTTATGCGGTTACTATTACTGATCTTTCGCACTAGATGGCGCTGATTTAGCGGGAAAGAAAATTGAAATTTATAAAAACTTTTGTCGCTCACAATTATTGATCACCGAGCAATTGCTTTTGTCATTTGTTAGTGAGTGCTATAAGTGAATATCAGAAAATATGAAAATTAAAAAAATTTATTCATTTTATAATCATTAACATAGATGTAATTGTATTACTCCGATGAAATTAAGTGTAATTTTGTTGAATTAATTGATTTGGTTTGTCGAATCCTCTGAAATGTTGTCTTCACGTTTTCTAATAACGATGAATTCGAAATCATTGCAGTATCGACCAAAGTATTGCAGTGCTATTTTATCTTTCTTTATAAACTCCAGTATAATCTCAAGTAAAATATCATCTTCAAAATGCCCTGGTGGCAAAGAAACATTGAATTTATCATCCAAAGTTAGAGTGATTTCATACCAGTAGTTCACTGTCTTCAACTTTCTCACTTTGTACTTTTTTGATGTGTTTAATTCTGTTATTTTTTTTATGGGTTTTCAAGTATTATTTTCAGTACTAGCAATATTACTCATATTCACTTTACTTAACAATTTTTCTACTCAATGTTCTTCAGTTCCACTTAATCGTGTACACTTTGTTGGAATTTATTCTGTTTTTATATAGCCCTTACTCTAGCGGTCAATAATTGAATTACATTTTCTAACAACGCACTTCCCTTTGCTCTCCTTTATTTGACCTGCCTTCCCTGCACTGAGCCATGGGGCCATTTTACTGGCCATTGTATTAGGGATCAGGGCCCTACTACCTTGAGTTGTGGGTTTCCTAACGGACGCTCTGGTGTGCCTCATTCCTGGGGTCCCTCCTCAGTAGCTGGTGAATCTTTTGTGGATCCACTTGTTTCCCAGCGCCTTTACAAGTTCCCCGGAAGCGTTAATCTCCACTGGGCTCTTGTCACCTCCATCGCTAGCATCTTTACAGGTCAGCCTGTCCGCTTCGGTGTTGCCGCGTATATCGCAGTGACTCGGTACCTTTAGCAGCTTTAGTTCGTTGGGCATGCCGCTTGCTTTAGAACCCTTCTGCTATGGTCCACGAATTTTGAACAGGTATCCACTTGCGAAAAATTTATTAAAGCAGCATAGCTGTCACTGCAAATATACATATGATGCCCAGTGCATTTCTTTCTGATAGTATCCATAGCGCATATCAGGATTGCGTATACTTCTGCCTGGAAAACAAAAGCGTCCTGACCCAGGGTGTAGAATTCCTCTACCCGTGGTCCTCCGCACCAGATTCCAGCTCCAGCCTCTCCCCCCTTGATCTTCGCCCCATCCACGTACTAAACAGGCCCCTTAGGAGTAAGCGATTCCTTGTCTTCCTCCATCCAGATCCGTCTGTCCATGAAAATGCCTTCGTATCCGGGTGAGAACTCTAGCTACCTGGACCTTTTTGCCATTGATTCCCGTGGGGTCCTCTGGGGCCAAGATCGCCGCATGCTCTGTTCGAAAACTCCTCCACTATCTAGGATTTCTTAAGCGGATGGCCGCTCTCTTCGCTAACACCTCTACCATCAATTTTGGCGGAGGGATGCGAGGTAAGCAGCTCATAGCTGGGGTTGACGTTGTCTTTAGAGCTCCTGTTATACCCAGCAGTGACGCTCTGTAGACCTTGTTTAATTACTTTCTACAAACGTCCCTCCTGATGGAGGTCTACCATACTATGAAGGCGTAGGTTAGTTGGGAAATGACAACAGCTGTGTACAGCCATTATATTGTAAAATATTTGTATGTCGCCGTCTAATGACTATTAGACTAACGACAGTT